CGGAATGTTGTTGCGTTGGAGAGTCAAACCCACAACAGCATTTACGCATTCCAGTTGCGTGACGATTCGCCGGTAATTAACTTCACGATTTGAAACGCCAAAGCATCTGAAGGGGCCCTGGGGGTCCCGGGTTAGGCGAGCTGCCAGGCTGGGCACGCCTCCCCGGTGGGTTTGCTGGACGGACATTGCCCTGGGGAGGCATGCCGCGAGACCATCCTGAAGACAGGAACCAGTGCTGGAGGACCGCCAGCTGTCTGCAGTGTCACGGAGTCATCGGCGTGAAGTACAACAGACCACAACAAGTCACGATTCGACTACAACGAGCTGTCGCCTGAATGATGCTCGTTTGTAATTACTGGCGAAACGTTCCTTGCGAAACGTCATGTCGTGGGTTTTACGCTCCAACACACCACCGGCGTGCGCTGAAACTAGTAACGAATTGGCCACGAATTGGCTGTTCACGTGACACGACCCTTACTAATCGGCTGTGTCGGGTGGTGGCGGGTACAACGAAGCATTTATATATTTACGCGCTCTAACCCGAACACCTGTTTAATGGATAACTAGCGGGAAGTACCCGCGTTGCCCGGGTCTTAAAAATAATTCAAAAGTACTCTTAAAAATGTAACAGCAGTGCGTACTGACTGTGGTGGTACCTGCTATGATTACAGAAGTGCATACTGTGGTGGTACCTGCTATGATTACAGCAGTGCATACTGTGGTGGTACCTGCTTTCACTGCAGCAATGCATACTGTGGTGGTACCCGCTATGATTACAGCAGTGCATGCTGACTGTGGTGGTAGCTGCTATGATTACAGCAGTGCATGCTGACTGTGGTGGTACCTGCTATGATTACAGCAGTGCATGCTGACTGTGGTGGTACCCGCTATGATTACAGCAGTGCATACTGACTGTGGTGGTACCTGCTATGATTACAGCAGTGCATGCTGACTGTGGTGGTACCCGCTATGATTACAGCAGTGCATACTGACTGTGGTGGTACCTGCTATGATTACAGCAGTGCATACCGACTGTGGTGGTACCTGCTATGATTACAGCAGTACATACTGACTGTGGTGGTACCTGCTATGATTACAGCAGTGCATACCGACTGTGGTGGTACCTGCTATGATTACAGCAATGCATACTGACTGTGGTGGTACCTGCTATGATTACAGCAGTGCATACCGACTGTGGTGGTACCTGCTATGATTACAGCAGTGCATACCGACTGTGGTGGTACCTGCTATGATTACAGCAATGCATACTGACTGTGGTGGTACCTGCTATGATTACAGCAGTGCATACTGTGGTGGTACCTGCTATGATTACAGCAGTGTATACTGACTGTGGTGGTACCTGCTATGATTATAGCAGTGCATACTGTGGTGGTACCTGCTATGATTACAGCAGTGCATGCTGACTGTGGTGGTACCTGCTATGATTACAGCAGTGCATGCTGACTGTGGTGGTACCTGCTATGATTACAGCAGTGCATACCGACTGTGGTGGTACCTGCTATGATTACAGCAGTGCATACTGACTGTGGTGGTACCTGCTATGATTACAGCAGTGCATGCTGACTGTGGTGGTACTTGCTATGATTACAGCAGTGCATACCGACTGTGGTGGTACCTGCTATGATTACAGCAGTGCATACCGACTGTGGTGGTACCTGCTATGATTACAGCAGTGCATACTGACTGTGGTGGTACCTGCTATGATTACAGCAGTGCATACCGACTGTGGTGGTACCTGCTATGATTACAGCAGTGCATACTGACTGTGGTGGTACCTGCTATGATTACAGCAGTGCATGCTGACTGTGGTGGTACTTGCTATGATTACAGCAGTGCATACTGATTGTGGTGGTTACTGCTATAAGTCAGTAAAACACGTTCCTCCTGCGGAAGGGAGCTGGTAGGAACGTTGGGTTGCTCGGTCAGTGGCCAGGGTCAACAACAACAACGGCGGCACCACCACGTGGTGTGTTCAGCACAGTTTGCCCGACTGTGAGGGCGGGCACAAGCCGGCGTGAGTAGGTTAAATGTTGAGTTTTATAAGGGCACCACGGGGTGACCAGCCCCTCCCCACCCAGCTCCACCCCTCCCACCCCCCACCCAGCCCCACCCTCCCCACCCAGCCCCTCCCCACCCTCCCCACCCAGCCCCTCCCCTCCTTTCCCACCCAGCCCCTCCCCACCCTCCCCTCTCCACCCATCCCCACCCCCTCCCATTTTTGGATGAACGACGGACGGACAGACACAACAACAATAATCCCCTGTGGGCAGCTGGTGTAACCAGTAAACTACAATAGAGTCAGTAGATGCTACAATAGAGGCAGTAGATACTACCGGCTCTGTTGTATGTAGGACGTGTAGGTATATATGCCTACAAAAGGCATTTATTTTTTGAGGTGTGGGAAGTAAGTGACATTTATTTGGGTGGCGGGGGATCGACAATTTTTGGAACCCTGTTGGATCAACTTTCGATAACTTGTTGATTTGCCCCTTCCGAAAGGCTCTCTTGTCACTTAGGTGACGGTGACAAACGGAACGCCGGGCTTTTATAACAGCGCTAGCTTTACTACCCGGCTTCGCCCGACACTTGGATTCTTCTTCCTTGGTTCTTTCGGTAAAGTCACGTAGAATGAATGGAGGACAGCGCTGGAGTGAGTTTCTCACTCCAGCGCTGTCCTCCAGACAGTCTCGTCCCCTTCACCTGATGAAGGCCGCTTGTGTTGTGGCCGAAACGTCGTGAGAATTTTATTGTGTTATTTTATTTTATCAATTTATTATTTTATTCTCATTCTACGTGGTGGTGACTTTACCGAAATAACCAAAGAAGATGAATCCTTGCAGTCACGAAAGCTTTCAATCGAAACTTGGATTCTTGTCTAGGATGACTACACGGCCTACACTAAGGGTGAGGGTGGGGGGGGGGGATGCGTGACGTCAGCAGGCGCACTGCGTGACGCTGCCGCATGCGGGTGACATCATAGATGTGACGTCACCGCTCACTTGCCTTGCAAAATATATCCATTAGGGGCCGTCCATAAATTACGTCACGCTGTGTGACGAGGAGGTGGGGGGTGGGGCTTGAGAAATGTGACGTCACATCAAAATGCGCAACTTTAAATAAATATAGACAACACGTTCTACTTAATTAAATATACTTTTTAATAAATGTTTTCTACCTACAACATCAGAGTGCAGCGCCACATTAAATACGCACCTACAATGACAATAGTTTAAAGCGATTTGAAGCGTGTTTTATTTTCAAAATGGAAATATGGTTTGGGGGGGGGGGGGGTGGGGGCAGAGCTTTGTGACGTCATATTTGAGGGGGGGGTCTGACTTTTTGTGACGCCGTGTGACGAGGGGGGGGGGGTCAAAATCGTCCAAAATCGCGTGAGGGGAACAACATGGCTGCGGAGGACACGGCACCACGTGACCATCGAGGGATGATGGGGCAGCCTCGTGTCGCCCTCTCGTTGTGGGGGGCCCTTATTGCGCCCCCCCCCCCAAAATACAAAAGTTTATTTTTATACGTTTTGCATTGTGTACAGTCTGGAAACTACCCACGTGCCAAATTTCAAGTTTGTTGCATGTCGGGAAGTATGCTAAACATTTCGAACAGGCACACATATTCACACATTTATCAAATCTCACTCCTCTTGACAAAGGGCCATTGTCTGAAACGTCGGTAGACGTGTAATTCCTGCAAAGTTCCCGATGGAAGGGTGCCACGCGGTGTCAATGAACGGCGCGCGGGCGAGAGTTGCAGTTGATAATTGTGACGTCACCGCGCAACGCACGCTCGGTGCAAGTGGTGTGCGGTGACGTCACCACGCCGCAAGAGACCCAATTTAAATTGTGCGTGGTGACGTCACCACGCCCCACGGGCGCGTTTGAAATGGTGCGCGGTGACGTAACCACGTCGCACGGGACCGATCAAAATGGTGCGTGGCGACGTCACCACGCCGCACGGGACTCCGGTCGGGACGAAAACGTCACCCGACCTTTACACGGGACCACTTTGAAGCGTGTGTTGTGACGTCACCGCAACGCACGACGACCAATTACGCTCGCGCGCGATGACGTCACCACGCCCCAGGTGAATCGGTCCACCGTGCGTGATGACGTCAGTACACCGCCCAAGGTGGTCACGTTGTGCGTGATATCACGAGACGCGCGCTACTGTGCGCGATGACGTCACGACGCACGGGCGGGGGGAGGGGTTCGAGCCGGGCGCGCGATGGCGTCATGACGCAACGACCCGAAGACGCGAACAGACGGCGCGCGATGACGTCCGAAGGGGGGAAGTGGTGGGTGGGGGCTGTGCGCGATGACGTCTGAGAGAGAAGTGTGGGGGTGCGGGGGGAGGGGCACAGTAGGGGGGCACAGGGTGGTGCATCTGCCCAGTCATCTCAGTCGACCCGTGGCACCTGCTGGGTCTGCCCCGTGACCTCCTGGTGCACCTAGCCTGGCACAGTAGGGGGGCACAGGGTAGTGCATCTGCCCAGTCATCTCAGTAGACCCGTGGCACCTGCTGGGTCTGTCCCGTGACCTCCTGGTGCACCTAGCCTGGCACAGTAGGGGGACACAGGTGGTGCATCTGCCCAGTCATCTCAGTAGACCCGTGGCACCTGCTGGGTCTGTCCCGTGACCTTCTGGTGCACCTAGCCTGGCACAGTAGGGGGGCACAGGGTGGTGCATCTGCCCAGTCATCTCAGTCAGTCGACCCGTGGCACCTGCTGGGTCTGTCCCGTGACCTCCTGCCAGGCGGGCGTTCGACACTTCACGTGGCCTCAAGGTGCACCTAGCCTGGCACAAGCGTCGTGGTCTCACGTCACCGCCACTTAGTGGCGAATGGGCGGTTGTTGTTGGGGGGGAGGGGCAGGCTATGCGTGATGACGTCACGACGCACAGAGTGTGGGTGTGTGTGTGGGGGGGCGTGTTCGAGCCGAGTGACGTCGAACCGCGGTGACGTCACCGAGGCTCAATAAATAGCGAGGCGCGCGCAGCTCGCCGGCGGTAAGTCGAGCGAGACGGACGGACGGACGGACGAGGAAGGAAGAGAAGAGAAGCGAAGCGAAGAGAAGAAGAAGAAGAGGAAGAGGAGGAGGAGGAGGCGTCGTCGTCGGAGGCGTCACCCACAAGGGCGGAATGGCGACTCGCATCCACGTTCCCGGCTCGCCCACCGTGCCCAAGCTGCCCGTCTTCGTGCACGAGCACGACCTGGAGGCGGGCGCCTTGCAGCTCCTCAAGCACGTGCGGCCCGAGTGGAAAGCGGCGGACGTGAACATGAAGGTACAGAGATATATACACACACAGTTACATTATATACTGTACGTTGTATATACATACACACGCGCGATTTACAACCTAGCGCTACCCCCCTCCTCCCCGAATCCTTTCTCGTCTCTTTCTCTCCCACTCCGCCGCCCCCGCCGCCCGTCACGGGTCGCCTCACGGGGGAGCCCGTGGCGGCAGCGGCGGCAGCGGCTCGTCGTCTTTAACACAAAATAAATAAAATAAAATTAACGCGCCCTGAGGTAGCTGTCACCGGCGCCCCGTGGCCACTCGCGACCCCAGCTACACCCGCGTCGCGGTAGCCGGAGGAAGGGAGCGGGCGCCACCCCCAACCAACCACCACCACCACCCCCCGGAGTCTCGGCCTCCCTCGCCGTAAACCACCCCGCCCTATGCGGGGGATGTATTCCAAACCCCACGGCCTCTTTCCCCAACCCACCCACCAATCACAACTCTCCCTATGCGCGTTACGATATCTACCGGCTTTGTCGGTCACGTGGCGGCGGGGCGGATCACCCTCCCCCCCCCACCCCACCGCGTGATCGCGGCTCGGCCAATGGGGGGTGAGCGGGGGGGACTGTGACGTCGCCCCCTCTCTCTCCCCCCCCCCTGAGGTCTCGTCCGTTGCCATGGGAACGGACTTGAACTTGAGGCCTATGCGAACCATTTTAACGTTTGTTGGAAACTAAAACGCAAACTAAATACGTAAAAACAAAATGTAAGGGCCCGACCCAGCCGATTCCTCCAAACGGAGGAACACATCGCAACAATTGTGCACGGCCCACTCGGTCTCGTACGTGCATAGCAATATCTATATGAACACACACTCGCAGGCACCGTCATACACTCGCACCACACGCACACAGGAAACATTGTCTCTACTGTGTCTCTACTGTGTCTCTACTGTGTCTCTACTGTGTCTCTACTGTGTCTCTACTGTGTCTCTACTGTGTCTCCACTGTGTCTCCACTGTGTCTCCACTGTGTCTCCACTGTGTCTCCACTGGCAGGGCCACTGTGTGTCTCCACTGTGTCTCCACTGTGTCTCCACTGTGTCTCCACTGTGTCTCTACTGTGTCTCCACTGTGTCTCCACTGTGTCACCACTGTGTCACCACTGTGTCTGCACTGTGTCTGCACTGTGTCTGCACTGTGTCTGCACTGTGTCTGCACTGTGTCTCCACTGTGTCTCCACTGTGTCTCCACTGTGTCTCCACTGTGTCTCCACTGTGTCTCTACTGTGTCTCTACTGTGTCTCTACTGTGTCTCTACTGTGTCTCTACTGTGTCTCCACTGTGTCTCCACTGTGTCTCCACTGTGTCTCCACTGTGTCTCCACTGTGTCTCTACTGTGTCTCTACTGTGTCTCTACTGTGTCTCCACTGGCACGGCCACTGTGTCTCCACTGTGTCTCTACTGTGTCTCCACTGTGTCTCCACAGTGTCTCCACAGTGTCTCCACAGTGTCTCCACAGTGTCTCCACAGTGTCTCCACTGTGTCTCCACTGTGTCTCCACTGTGTCTCCACTGTGTCTCCACTGTGTCTCCACTGTGTCTCCACTGTGTCTCCACTGTGTCTCCACTGTGTCTCTACTGTGTCTCCACTGGCATGGCCACTGTGTCTCCACTGTGTCTCCACTGTGTCTCCACTGTGTCTCCACTGTGTCTCCACTGTCTCCACTGTCTCCACTGTGTCTCCACTGTGTCTCCACTGTGTCTCCACTGTGTCTCCACTGTCTCCACTGTGTCTCCACTGTGTCTCCACTGTGTCTCCACTGTGTCTCTACTGTGTCTCTACTGTGTCTCTACTGTGTCTCTACTGTGTCTCTACTGTGTCTCCACTGTGTCTCCACTGTGTCTCCACTGTGTCTCCACTGGCACGGCCACTGTGTCTGCACTGTGTCTCTACTGTGTCTCTACTGTGTCTCCACTGTGTCTCCACTGTGTCTCCACAGTGTCTCCACAGTGTCTCCACTGTGTCTCCACTGTGTCTCCACTGGCACGGCCACTGTGTCTGCACTGTGTCTCCACTGTGTCTCCACTGTGTCTCCACTGTGTCTCCACTGTGTCTCCACTGTGTCTCCACAGTGTCTCCACAGTGTCTCCACAGTGTCTCCACTGTGTCTCCACTGTGTCTCCACTGTGTCTCCACTGTGTCTCCACTGTGTCTCCACTGTGTCTCCACTGTGTCTCCACTGTGTCTCCACTGTGTCTCCACTGTGTCTCCACTGTGTCTCCACTGTGTCTCCACTGTGTCTCCACTGTGTCTCCACTGTGTCTCTACTGTGTCTCTACTGTGTCTCTACTGTGTCTCTACTGTGTCTCTACTGTGTCTCCACTGTGTCTCTACTGGCAGAGCCACTGTGTCTCTACTGTGTCTCTACTGTGTCTCTACTGTGTCTCCACTGTGTCTCCACTGTGTCTCCACTGTGTCTCCACTGGCACGGCCACTGTGTCTCCACTGTGTCTCCACTGTGTCTCCACTGTGTCTCCACTGTGTCTCCACTGTGTCTCCACTGGCACGGCCACTGTGTCTCTACTGTGTCTCCACTGTGTCTCCACTGTGTCTCCACTGGCACGGCCACTGTGTCTCCACTGTGTCTCCACTGTGTCTCCACTGGCACGGCCACTGTGTCTCCACTGGCACGGCCACTGTGTCTCCACTGTGTCTCCACTGTGTCTCCACTGTGTCTCCACTGTGTCTCCACTGTGTCTCCACTGTGTCTCCACTGGCACGGCCACTGTGTCTCCACTGTGTCTCCACTGGCACGGCCACTGTGTCTCCACTGTGTCTCCACTGTGTCTCCACTGTGTCTCCACTGTGTCTCCACTGTGTCTCCACTGTGTCTCCACTGTGTCTCTACTGTGTCTCTACTGTGTCTCTACTGTGTCTCCACTGTGTCTCTACTGTGTCTCTACTGTGTCTCTACTGTGTCTCTACTGTGTCTCTACTGTGTCTCTACTGTGTCTCTACTGTGTCTCTACTGTGTCTCCACTGTGTCTCCACTGTGTCTCCACTGTGTCTCCACTGTGTCTCCACTGTGTCTCCACTGTGTCTCCACTGTGTCTCCACTGTGTCTCCACTGTGTCTCCACTGTGTCTCTACTGTGTCTCTACTGTGTCTCCACTGTGTCTCCACTGGCACGGCCACTGTGTCTCCACTGTGTCTCCACTGTGTCTCCACTGTGTCTCCACTGTGTCTCCACTGTGTCTCCACTGTGTCTCCACTGGCACGGCCACTGTGTCTCCACTGTGTCTCCACTGTGTCTCCACTGGCACGGCCACTGTGTCTCCACTGTGTCTCCACTGTGTCTCCACTGTGTCTCCACTGTGTCTCCACTGTGTCTCCACTGTGTCTCCACTGTGTCTCCACTGGCACGGCCACTGTGTCTCCACTGTGTCTCCACTGTGTCTCCACTGTGTCTCCACTGTGTCTCCACTGTGTCTCCACTGTGTCTCCACTGTGTCTCCACTGTGTCTCTACTGTGTCTCCACTGTGTCTCTACTGTGTCTCCACTGGCACGGCCACTGTGTCTCCACTGTGTCTCCACTGTGTCTCCACTGTGTCTCCACTGTGTCTCTACTGTGTCTCCACTGTGTCTCCACTGGCATGGCCACTGTTTCTCCACTGTGTCTCCACTGTTTCTCCACTGTGTCTCCACTGTGTCTCCACTGGCATGGCCACTGTTTCTCCACTGTGTCTCCACTGTTTCTCCACTGTTTCTCCACTGTTTCTCCACTGTGTCTCCACTGTGTCTCCACTGTGTCTCCACTGTGTCTCCACTGTGTCTCCACTGTGTCTCTACTGTGTCTCTACTGTTTCACCACTGTGTCTCCACTGTGTCTCCACTGTGTCTCCACTGTGTCTCCACTGTGTCTCCACTGTGTCTCCACTGTGTCTCTACTGTGTCTCTACTGTGTCTCTACTGTGTCTCTACTGTGTCTCCACTGTGTCTCCACTGTGTCTCCACTGTGTCTCTACTGTGTCTCTACTGTGTCTCCACTGTGTCTCCACTGTGTCTCCACTGTGTCTCCACTGTGTCTCCACTGTGTCTCCACTGGCACGGCCACTGTGTCTCCACTGTGTCTCTACTGTGTCTCCACTGTGTCTCCACTGGCAGGGCCACTGTGTCTCCACTGTCTCCACTGTCTCCACTGTCTCCACTGTCTCCACTGTGTCACCACTGTGTCTCCACTGGCAGGGCCACTGTGTGTCTCCAGTGTGTCTCCAGTGTGTCTCCACTGTGTCTCCACTGTGTCTCCACTGTGTCTCCACTGTGTCTCTACTGTGTCTCCACTGTGTCTCCACTGGCACGGCCACTGTGTCTCCACTGTGTCTCTACTGTGTCTCTACTGTGTCTCTACTGTGTCTCCACTGTGTCTCTACTGTGTCTCTACTGTGTCTCCACTGTGTCTCCACTGTGTCTCCACTGTGTCTCCACTGTGTCTCCACTGGCACGGCCACTGTGTCTCCACTGGCACAGCCACTGTCTCCACTGTGTCTCCAATGCACGGCCACTGTGTCTCTACTGGCAGAGCCACTGTGTCTCCACTGTGTCTCTACTGTGTCTCCACTGGCACGGCCACTGTGTCTCCACTGTGTCTCCGCTGGCACGGCCACTGTGTCTCCACTGTGTCTCCACTGTGTCTCCGCTGGCACGGCCACTGTTGTCTCCACTATCTCCCTTAATCCTACAAGTAATTTGACCTAAAGTTGTGGCTCTCGTAGCTGGTGTTATGTTCGTGCAGAAACCTGTTACCATTGCAGCCGTGTGCATGAATACGTAACGATTCACGTGAGACCGCGTTTGGACGTCCCCACGATCGTTGTTCACGATCGTGTAAAGAAATGTTTTATATTCGCACAGCGAACGCATGTGAATTGAGAGGCCCTTTCCATCACGATGGACGTCTCTTCACCTCCCCTCCGCCGTGGGGAGAGTCGCGCCTGGGCCGTGCGTTCCAGGCGATGAGTCTCGCAACGAGCTCGGAGCTACTTTG